GATGATAAAAAATATTCACATGAAATCGAAAATCTATGGAAGGTTTTCAAACAATTATTTGACAAAAAGACTGGGTTGAATCCCAATTTTTCATTTAATGAAATGGCTATTGAAATTCATGAATTACTTGAAGAGGGAAAGGAAATTGCTGCTTCTACAATAAAAAACTTCTAACAACGAAAAACCAATCCCAGAAAGAAAACAACAGAAGCAATTCAGCAATGGGTTGAAAAGGAAAAGAAGAAAGAGATGGAGAATGAAGTCAAAAAAGATAATAAAAACGATGAGGATATAAATATTAGTAATAATATTATCGATAATAATAGTAGTAGTAATAGTGAAAGTTGAATTTTTGTCAGAGTGCCCAAAGAATAGGTAATACTTTACTTAAAAATGGCTTTGGGTCCAAGTATTTTCCTCCCATGCAAGCACTCTGACAATTCTTTAACTTACATTTTTATAAATTATTTATGTATTCTCTATTATTAGAGTTGTATAAAAAATTATTTTTTCTTTTGTCATTCGTAAATATTACAAGTCATGTGCCCATTAATTTATCATTGGTCGAAATTATGCATAAATTATAAAATTACGATCTAAATAAATAAATTTTTTATTTTTAAAAAATGGCAACATACGAAAAAATTGAAAATGAATTAGAAATATCAAGAGGAGAGTATGAAGAGGCGAAAAAGAATTTGGAAGAGTGGAAAAAGAAGAAATTGGAGAAGTTAGATGAGCTGGAGGAGAAGTTAGACAATAAAGAATGGGGAGATGATGTAGAACAGAAGGAGAGGTGGGAAGAACGAATAAAGAGATTGGAAGAAGAAAAGAAGTCGTTGGAAGCAGAGAAGAAGAGGTGGGGAGATCAGGTGGAGGAATGGGGAAAGGCGTTAAGAGAATTTGGTGGAGGGGAAGGTAACGAATAAATTGCATAAAAAAAAAATGTTTTTCATTCATTCCATTTCGTTTATTTATTTGGTATACTGTTTACAATTTTAACTGACTTGCTTTTTTCTTCTGGCCTATCTTTTTTTCTCTAAAGGTATTTCAGGTGAGTCCAAATATTTCATTCTGTCTATTTATTGGAAACTAAGTCAAAATCTCCATTGATACAATGCAGTATCAAAAATTAATCAGCATTCATGTCTTCCTATTATGTATTTAGACCCCACAAATAAAATCATGAAATATTGGTTACAAACCCCAGATGAAATCCCTGAACGTCATCAACTTACATATTTTCTTAATAAGATACCAAATGTGAAAATCCCTCTTTCCAAGGAAAATTTCTCTTCAATTCCAGTCATTGGACCATTTAGTATAGACCCAACAGAGCGTGATAAATATTTTGTAGAGAGCAAATCAGAAAGTTGTACTGCATTTTTTACTGGATTAATATCAAGCTTAATTGACACTCCTCCAACAGGAAAAACAGAAGATTCATTTCACTCCTTTTGGGATGCTATTATTAGCAAGTCACTACAAGTATTTGGAAAATATTCTAATGAAATGCCAGCAATGGATTTTGATCGTAATACCTCTAGAAACACAACAACAGGTAGACTTATTTAAATAATTGACTGAAAAGTAGAATTATATCATGTACTAATGAAAAGTTTTATAGGTCTAAATCGACCAGATTTTGTCTTATTAATGAGAAACATTTGTGTTGTTCGTGGAGAAGAGAAAGGAGAAGGTGGAAGAGGAGAACCTGCTAGGGAATTAATTGATAAATTCAATACTTGGGATTATGGAGACACTCCATATCTCTTTGGATACTATGCCAATACCACTGCTGTTACCTTTTGTGTTCTTTATATTAATGAAAAAGAACCTATTAATATCAATAGTCGAAAGAGAAAATGCCCAGACGTTTGTAGTGAGAGACTTGCAGAATTTGATTTAAACAAATTAACACATAGATTCAAGTTAATGAATTTAATTAGGAATATTTGTAAGTCCTTTCATGTTTTGATTTTTGAACTTTATAAGGAATGCTAATTTACTTTATAAAGCTTAGGTCGCATACTACCTATGATAATTAACATGTGTCCTTCAAAAGAATTGCCAGATTTTGAAACCATAATACGTGATAATGGAACTAATATCGAAATTGGCTATGATATTAAAAAAACATTTCCCTCAGAAGCTAAAGTTAAACATCTGGAAAATTTTTATGGGTTAATGAGTGTAAGTTTAAAATATCTTTTCATTTTTCTGTCTTCAAATTTACATTTCTAACAAACACTTCATACAGAATTACAAGATCAAATGTATTGATAAATTAATTCGTTCTCGTGATAATGTTGTTCACTTGATGCCAAGGGGAAAAGAGAAGAAACCAAAAAATCTTAATGAATTACTGAGAGCTATAATCTGTATATTAACCTGTTTAGAGGTACCATTTTTAGTGATATATATATATATATATATATTGATGTTCATTATTAACTAATATGAAGATATATATTTAATTAGGGCTTGCATAATATAAAACCTAACCCAGTTATGCATAGAGATATACGATGGCCGAATGTTATACAATATGAAGATCAATATTTTTTGATTGACTTTGATTTTGCCAGCTTTTCTCCTTCAAATGAGAATTTACAGAACTTAAATCCAGATAATCATGCTCCTGAAATGTTAATAGGTGTACATGATGTAACAGTTGACATTTGGGGTGTTGGATACTTGATTGTTTCAAGTGGTATTAATGAATTGCCTGAAGAACTTTTATCACTTTCACAATCAATGTGTCAAGAGAATATAAATCTACGGCCAAATGCATTTGATACACTTAAAGTTGTCAAAGGTTTTTTTGTGAAGGTAACTGATTTTTTTTATTAATGTCACTATTTATTTTATCCAGGATGTAATTTTGATAAAGTTTTAACTTTACAGTGGTTTCCTAATGATGGCTGGCTAAATTGTTTTGATAATGAATAATAACTAGAAAAGAATGAAATATACAAATTTAATATTTTTTTTGCTTATTAATCTAATAAATAATACATTTAATTTTCTTGTTCATAAAAGCTTTTTAAAATAAAAACTTACAAAGTGAACATAAAATTATATATATAGGGATAAGTGTATATATGAAAAATAATAATAAATATAATGGTTCTAATGAATATCAAAAAGCAATTGAGTTTTTAGAAAAAGGTTGTGATTGTGGTTGTTCTTCAAGAATTCCCAAAGAACAATTTGCAGAATTAAGGGAATCTTTTCAAGCTCTTTCTAAACCAGAACAAGACATATTTTTAATGGCCCAACTTAAGCCAATGGATGGTGGACCAACAAGCACTAGCAGATTCCTTAAAAAGAAAACCAGATCTAATAAAAGAACTTTCTATCACTGAGATCACAATACACTTCTTTGTCAAGAAACTTATCTCAATATGCTAGGAATTGGTAGGGCTTATTTTGAAAATATCAGGAATCATCTGATAAACAATGGTCTTCTGTCAAGAATTCATGGTAATATTAAAAGAATGCCTCAATGGAAAACTAAAATGATGATTGATAAAAATGTTGCTGAAGTAGTAAAGAATTTTCTAGAAAATTATGCTGAAGTCCATGGATTACCAAGCCCAGGCAGAAGTGTTAATAGAATAACTCAGTCAGTTATCTTTTTACCAGCTGAAATGAGTTATAAATCAGTGTATAGAGATTTTCTAGCTGGTCTGGAAGAAGATAACAAATTGAAATCCTTAAAATATGATGCATTTAGAAAACTATGACATCAATTAACACCAGAGATTCAAATTATGAGTCCAAGGACTGACTTGTGTGATACTTGTCAACATTTTCGAAATGGTTTACATTACAATGCTCGCCAAGAGGAAGAAGCTAAAGATTTACTCAAAAGATTTAAAGAACATCTGTCCAAGGCAAGATTAGAAAGAAACTATTATAAAAACACCAAATTAGCAGAAGAACAAAGGAAATTAGTTAATCAAAATTATTCAAAGGGTAAAACACCATATTGCAGTATTGATGCTACTGCTCATTATAGTTATGATTGAGCTCAAAATGTTCATGTACCACATTCTGATCAACAGGCAAGTAAAATTTATTACCTTAGTCCACGTAAAGTCCATTTATTTGGCATTCAAGATGAAGCAGTAAGGGAGCAAATTAATTATGTTCTTAATGAAGATGAAATTATAGGAAAAGGACCCAATGGCACTCTTAGCATGATTTTTGATGGAATTAAGAAATTGAATAAAGGTGAAAAGCATTTAAAGATTACTTGTGATAATGCTGGTGGACAAAATAAAAATAATGTAACAATTTGGTTTTATTTGTATTTAGTAATTTGTGGTTATTATGAAAGTATTGAATTAAATTTCATGATTCCTGGGCACACCAAATTCAAATGTGATGGTAGTTTTGGCATGATTAAAAAACTATACAGAAGAACAAGAGTAGATTGTCGGGATCATGTGGTTGCAGTGGTAAAAAAGTCTAGTCCAGCAGGATTAAATAAAGCTCAATGTTATGAAGGTGGAAAAGGGTTTCAATACTTAGATATTAAAGCTATTTTGGGAATTTATCTTAAGAAATTACCAAGTATATCAACATTTTCTTTTTGAAGCAATTAATTTTGGTGTGGTCAAAGCTCAGGAAATTGCTAATGGACCTTTTACTGAATTCAATTTATTGAAAACCAAGAAAGCAGATATTTTGGAAGAAATTAGAGCTTTATCCATTTTAGTATTAACACCACCACCTTTGGATTACAAAAAACAAGAATATCTTTACCAGAATATTCATCCATTTGTGAAAGATGAATACAAAGACATTACTTGCCCAAGACCAATATATACTGGCAACGAATAGAATATTTAGAATAAAATCACTTCTATGACTTCTTGCTGTCATTAAGTTTAATAAGTTTAATCTTTTGACAAATATTGTTAGCTTTTTTCCATATTTAAAGTAAAAAAGTGCTAAAATAATTATATACTTAACATACCCCTAAGGATATAAGTATATTAAAAGAATAAATAAAAAAGGAACAATCAAGAAAATCATGACAAACATCTTAAAAGAACAACAACAAGCAAATAAAGAACTAATCAATGAAATTGAAACATTGAAAAAGCAATTATCCAATAAGAACAAGAAATTACTGAATTAAAAAATCTAGAAGTAAGTGAACAAGAAGAAGCTGAATTTAAACAAGAAGCAATCAATCAAATTCACCAAATATTGGTAGATATGAAAAATAGATTTCCTCATTGTAGTAAGAATATTGAACAAGATTTAAAGGAAATTGATTAGCAAACCATTAAGAAATCAGTTTATGAATATTTGTTTTCAACATAGTCTTATGTATGACTATAAATGGGAAGCCAAAGAAAACTTAGAAAAAAATTGCTGAGAGAATTATTATAGATTATTTGGGGCATGCTGCAACAAAACCAGACAAAATGAACATTGATATTACCAAAAATTTCAGGGATCAAAATTTGGTAATGTGATTATTAAAATCCCCCATTTGTTATATTTGTTTTTTTCTTAATATTAAGTGATATATAGAATTACCCCTATATAAAAATAGTAATATGAAATTAATTTACATCAGATTTACTATGGAATCCAAGAATTATAATACTATCAGAAGTATTTTAAAAAAAGAACAAGGTGAAAAAATTGCTCCTTACATTTTCAAAATAAATGATACTCAAACACTTGAAGCTTATCTAAGAAAAGAAAAGATTACCTATGAAATTTACCAAGAGGAAAGAAAAATAATAAATGTTAAAAAAAAAAAGCAAAATGAAAGTGTATTATTATCCAATAAAAAGCAGAAACATTTGGAAGAAAAATAATCTTGTTACAATATTGATTTATTTTTTCTTTTTAATTCTTTTAACAACATAGATCATAGCAATTAAAAAGTTATATAGGCTATTCATAATCAAATAGGATTGTTTTTATATTCATCAGCAACTTTGGCAAAATCTTCATCTTTAAGTCAGAGACAATAATTTTAACATGATAGATACTAGATCCAGTAGTGCTATAGTTACATTTGTAATCAGAAAGAATGTAAATCTTATTTTTATCAGTAATAATGTAGCTGCCTTTTCATTATGTTGGATATCATAATAAGATATCAAAAGCCAGGATATTTTCTTTAACTTTATCTAAAAGACAGTTGGAATGAATTTCATTTATATTAGAGGAAAATACTTCCTCAATATTCTTTAAATTACTTTCTTATTTTCAATCAAGGTCATTTCTTAGTTTCTTTAATTTCAATTTGTGCAGTTAATTGACCATTCTGTTGTAATTGTTCTAACTGGTTCTTTAATTTCTCATTCTCTGTCTCATAAGCATTTAACTTATTGACTAACTCTTGAGGGGTTAAAGTTTTCAATTGTTCAATTTTCTGAGTCAATTTAATAATTTCTGCTTCTTGTTGTTTAATCTTATCTAACAACTCTTGTTTTTGCTTCTTGCTCCATTCTTCAGATTTCTCTTGAAATTTGGCTATTTCTTCCCTCTCAATATTTAATTCTTCTTTAGTGGTTGATAACTCTCTTTCTAGTTCTCTAGTTTTGTTTTCTAAACGAGAACTGAAAGCTTGTGAAAGTAATTCTTTATCAGAAAGTGGTTTAGTTGATTTAGCTTTTAAATGACTACAAAGGCACCTATTTCTATTTCTCTTTAACCTACCACATTTCTCACAACATGGGAGAATATTGTTATTGTAATCTTTTTTACATTCACCACAAATAAAAACTATGTCAGCATAACCATCAGGAGTATTATGACCTATCATTTGGTGAGTAGCAGGAGCAGTATCAAGACTGAAATTAGTTGGATCATCAAAATCTAGAAAACAAAAATTACATTCTTGCTCATCTCCTTTTGCTATTTCTAAAACTCTATATTCTAATCTCATATTTACTTCTTTTGAGTGATAAAAGTTTGGAATTTTTCCTTACTCTTTTCTTTAACTTTACTTATTAATTTCTTGAGTTTATGTGGCCTATTTTCTTTTTGTTGCTTTGGTAAAGATGGTAATTCTTTGTTTTCTAAATAATTCCTTCAGTCTATTTCTTGATTCTTAGCAGCTAAATTATTCTCCAACAAGTCTATTCGATCCAGAAGTTTTCCCATTGCAGCATCGTGTTTTAGCACTGTTTCAAACATTTGACGCTTTCTCCATTTCATAGCTGTGTTTAGTGCTTTTTCAGCTTCTTCTCGCTCCATCCAAACCTCCTCTTCTGATTCTTCTAACTTTGTTTCTAACTCCTTATTTTTTGGTTCCAGTTCTGCTATTTTCGCTTCGTATTCTTGCTTTTGTTTAAATGCATTAGCAGTTAATTCATTCCAACTATTAATTAACTCATCCAGAGAAAGGTTTCTGATGTCTAAATAAGAATAACAACTTTGACTTATTGGATCACTTTTATAACCTTCTTCTAAGAATTCTTTTAGAGTTAAACTATCTTCTAATTTGCCTTCTCTTAATCATTTCCTAAATAGCTCTTTGCTTTCTTCAGAGTTTAATTTGATGAGGTTAAGAATGATGCTTTTTCTAGCATCATTTCCTACTCCATAAAGTTTATTTGTGAGATTGTAGTAATGATTAAACTTATAAGCATTGTAAACTATATCTCTACGAATATTTTCAGTAGGATATCACTTACAAAATGCAGATCAATTTTCTTGGTTGCAATAACACTGCATAATTATATCAAGTGCCTTTACATCCATATCAGATCCGTAACTACTGCTTAGAATACTAATCACTCATTGCCTAATTTGTTCATTGTTCAATGGTTTAAATTCTTGTTCTTTACTTAATAGTTGCTTTTCTAAATCAGCAATGTGATTTGATAGTTCTTTGTTTCTTTCTTGGAGATTTGTTATTATGTTTGTCATGATTTTCTTCTTTTAATATACTTATATCC